AGGAGCCCGGGTGAAACTTATTCACTTCAAAATCAAATCAGATATATAGAGTTGTAAATAATATCTATTTTATAGACATATATAATTTAAAAAATATAATTAAAAAATATTATTTTTTATAAATTTAGTGAAAAAATGCGGACGCCATATTGAATATTTATCACTTTGTTAATTGTTGTGTATTCATTATACATCATTTCATAACAAAGATAAAAATAGTTTTATTTTTTATTGTACAAGCATTAATATATTTAAGTATCCGTATAGTACACGGGTATCGTATTAGTTTATTAATATACCATAAACAATCATTTTAGTGTATGATCCAGGGAAAAAAAAAAGTAGAAATTGAGTATAAAAAAAATGAATATGAAAATATTCAAAAAATTATGTCCCAAACTTAAATAAAGTATGTATAAAGTTTAAATGTTATAATGGTGTTGTAAATAAAAATAGATGAATATCATAATTAAAAATATATCTAAGTCTCTATATATAATAAGGAGTTGGAACACTATTTCTTTATTATTATTTTATTTCTTAATAACCTATTGTTTTGACATGTGTACTTTTATTATTGAAGTACCTATTTTGCCCTTGCTTCCTTGAGTCTTTTGCCTACTAAATTATTATTATTAGTTTTTTTTTTTTTTTTTTTTTTTTTTTTTTTTTTTTTTTTTTTTTCTTTTCGTCTTCTTCATTATGCAATGACTGAGTTTCAAACAAATTTCTTCATCTTTATACCTTCATCGTTTTATACCTTATTTTTAATTCAATTCTATATATATAATAAGAAGGAGTTGGAACACTATTTATTTATTATTATTTTATTTCTTAATAGCCTATTATTTTGACATTTGTACTTTCACTATTGAAGTACCTATTTTGCCCTTGCTTCATTGAGTCTTTTGCCTACTAAATTATTATTATTAATTATTTTTTTTAAATTTTTTCTTTTCGTCTTCTTCATTAGGCAATGAATGAGTTTCAAATGTTCCTAAAAAATCCTTCTTTCTTCATCTTTATACCTTCATCATTTTATACCTTATTTTTAATTCAAAACTGCAAAACACAAAAATAATGCCCAAACAATAATAATGTATGTGTTTGCTCAATCTCAAAATAAAGTCACGATATTCAAATTATTTGAATTTATATGAGTCTTAACCTTTTCAAATTAGTAATTTCATGTTTTTTTATGTTTAAAATAGTTTTTAAAAAATCAAGCTGGAGTTTTTTACTTCATAGTTCATACTACATTTTTTATTGATATGTGCATATGGCTCATGTTTGAATAGATTTTTTAAGTGCACAGGAAATTTAATTTTGAATTGGTTGGTGTGCTATTATTTCTAGCCTTGTTGTTTATATTTTGTATTAATGTTTTGGCTAATAATTTTATTTTTCAATTGCTTATGGCCGTATGATTATACACGTCCTTTAATTTTCATCTTTTAGATTTGACAAGTGGTTAAAGTAAAAATTAATGACATTTATTTATTCAGGTGTGTACTTGCTCATTTTTCCGATTCATTTTTTTTAGTTTGTTGGTTTTGTTGGAGATCACATTACTCGCAATATTATTATTTTTTGTGTGTGTGTTTTTATTTCTACAATCTACATATGATCAAATTGTTGACATTTATGTTGTTCATGTATGTACTCTCTCAATCTTTTGATTCATTTTTTTATTTTGTTTTTATTATGTTTGGGATCATATTACTCGTATTATCATTTTTTTTTCATTATCATATTGCATGTTTCTTACTCTTACTTATCGTAATTTATATGAACTTTCGATTATATTGAAATAACATACTTTCAACCGTTCTATATTTTTTTACAAGAAAAATAATTTTAAGTGTACCCATTAAGTGTTTTGAGTTGGTGTTTGCTTGGTATATTTATAGACATAGTAGTGTTAAATGGAAGACTTAAAAAAATTATTAAATGGAAGTGTTTTTGCATATACAATAGTAGAAAATCAAAAAATGCTCAACTTTACAAAATATTAGAGTAAGACCACGTCGTGGGCCTGGCCGTGTTGTACACGGCCGTGTTCCTTCTAGTGTGTGTCTATATATATATATATATATATATATATATAGAGAGAGAGAGAGAGAGAGAGAGAGAGAGAGAGAGAGAGAGAGTTGGGATCATATGAGAATGGTAGATAATGAAAGAAATAAGAATGATCATGAATCATTGGATCAATTACATCAATGGTCATTATAAAGTCAAAATTAAATTATAATGGTAAAACCTGCATGGCAGAATTGTAATTACATTGCCATTTTATGGACAAATAAATAGTGTGGAGGGCATTAGTGTAATATTCAACATAAATTTACGTGGACCCCACCCATTACTATTGCCAATTAATCTCTCTCACCTCTCTCCTCTCTATTCTTTCACGTCAATTGTTCACAGATTCTGCTACGTCTCCATTGCAGCCGGCGGCCCCGACCTTCCGCCACCAAACCGCCGCAGCCACAGCTCCTACTGCCCCCGTCGCCACCTCCGGTCACAGCATCCGACACCTGCTTCACTAAGGCATGTCCGACGACTGTCTCTCCTCTCGACCACACACAGTCACCACCATCTCCATTGTAGCCGTCGGCCCCGACCCTCCAGACCACGCAGTCGCCGTCAGAAAATCTGGAAACGCCGCTGAATTCGAGAACCTCGTCGGAGTTGGCCCTCTCATTTTCGGCCCCCCTCTTAATCTGCCGTGAAATTCGGTTATGAGTTCTCAAGCTTATGTATGTCTCGTGGTTGTTCTCCTGCGGCGTATAACCGGTCGTCGGGGAGCTAGGATTAAGCAGCAGGTGGTTGTTGGCCATGCCTGTAATGTGAAGAGGTGTTTGTGAGTTGGGGCTTCCATTTGAGAATTAGATATATCCAAAGGGCTTAATTGCAATTTTAATTTTTTTTAATATATCTCAATTTGATACATGGGTCTAAATGCATAATTTATATAAATATGTTAAGGTGCAACTCGTCTAATGTTAAGGTGCAAATAGATAGTCGTTAAGGTGCAATTCGACTAACGTTATTGTGCAAGCGCATTACACAATAATAATAATAATAATAATAATAATAATAATAATAATAATAACAATAATAATAATATATTTCATTTTTGGTTATTTCGTTTTTTTTAAATTGTCACCGAACCATAACCCAGCTTTTAAAAATAAATCAAAAATCGTTATTAGATATTGTGCAATACGATAGACAATAACGTGCAATACACCTAACACTAATGTGCAATATGTATAACGTTATTATTTAGATGAATTAGATCGGTCAATTGAATTATCTAAATAATATATAGATTTTAAATATATATAACTTTTATATTCTTTTTTAATAATATTAGTATTTTAATATTATTTTTTAATATTTAATAATATATATGAATATTTTATTTATAATATATATATAAATATAAACAAAAAAAGTCTGGTAATAATTTTTCGTAGTTCGGCGTGTTGATTTATTTTTATTTATTTAAAAAAACTAAATCTAATATTGAACAACTAATTTTGTTCGATCGATTAGCATAATAACTATAATATGATACGTACAACGTGTTGTGTCATAAAGTGCAACGTATTGTTGCATAATGTGAAATCGTTTATATATATTGTGCAGTATTGAAATTTTGATACGTTTGCATGTTTGTGTCTTTTGTGAATATATTATGTGATGAATATTGAAGTATTATGTCGGTCTTTTTAGATTTATATTGTGGAATATTTTTTGTGGGAGCTTGTTGACATTATTTTCAATAAACCGAGTTAAGCGACGCTAATAAGACGATTATGGTCAATGGGAGGATGATTAAAGTTTGTACAAGTACATGATGTCTCCGCGGAGTTCAAGACGATTGTATAATGACAGATTCATCAAGAACCGACATCTCTGTTATTTAACCGATATCTCGTGTCGGTTATTACATGTCGGTCACGACATGTCGGATACAACATATCGGTTATAACTGAATGAACCGATATCCATGATGTGCCACGTCAACATTGTGAGGCGGCGACAGCTCAGCATAAATCATCATTACACTTGTCCAAGTGGCGTGCTATCAAAAGAAGTAGCAAGAAGCCGCCTTTGACTTTGAGGAATTGCAGGAAGCTGCCTTTTGACCTTTCAAACTGTAATGATTACTTTACAGATAAATATTGTAAGTAAATATAAAAGGAAAAGAGAGTTTTTCCTCAAAGACACACGCAAAACAAAAAAAGAGATTACGCAATAATATCGATGAATATTTCACTCTCCAACTTGATACTTTACTAAGCAGTGAAACTAAGTTGTTAATTTTCATTTTAACAACAGTTTGGCGCTAGAAGGAGGGCCTCATAAGGATTTTGAGGTTAACTTTCCCTAATATAGTCACTCACACGCTCACAAACGCCATGTCGCAGTCTGGTCGAGACCATCCATCTCATGGTGGTCACAGTCAATCTACTCGTCAGTCTCCAGGACATCCTACACCACCTCCTCCGGTTACGAATATTACAAATTTCCTCCAGAACCCGGAGTCTATTCAAGGTTTAACCTCTCTGATAGCTCAAGCCATACCTAGACACTCAGGCGTTGCGCCAGAGTCAACACCGTTTCTGACAAATCTTGTGGAGCAACCACATCCTACTCAACATAATCCTGAAACACATGCTGCGACATCACATGCTACGTCGCAACCACATCATACGTCTCCACGCCAAGGGCAGTTAGCACGTGCAGCCACTAATCCAATGATGAATAATCAAGCTGCAGATCAACCTCCTGTTGAAGAAATGACTGCCGAAAGTCACTCTGCTCACCACCAACGAATTCCGTCACATCCCAGGCCTACGTCACCGATACCTCGTGAACGTGAAGATTTACGACGTCAAATCGAACGGAATCGAATCTCGAGACACAGTGCAGAGGAAATTGAAGTTCTGCGAAAACGTCTGGCTGAACTTGAAACTCGACAGAAGTCACAGGAAGATTCTCCCCGACATGTCCCGACGTCGGGAAATGTTATCATTGAAGCTGATTCACCACTTGCTCTGGAACTCACTGCGGAAGCACTTCCCGTGAAGGTAAAAATCCCTCAAATTGGCATGTATGACGGTACCTCGGACCCGGATGCACACCTGGGCCATTATACGTCGTGGATGGATTTACATGGGGCCTCAGACGCCCTGAGATGTCGGATGTTCTCTCTTACACTGGGGTCGCGAGCGCAGAAGTGGTATTATACTCTCCCCCCGCATTCAATTTGGAAATGGCAACAGTTACGAGCGGCTTTCCGATCACACTTCATCGGAGCTCAAATCTGCCTCATCCCGAAGGAATCAATTACTAATATCGTTCAAAAAGACGATGAAACTGTTAAGGACTACGTGTCTCGTTTTAATGATCGGATTCAGAATATGGAACCTTGTCATCCTGAGACCTTGTTAGTAACTGCAATTGTTGGGTTGAAGCCCAACTCGATGTTTCGTTGGACCCTGTGCCAGAACAAGCCGACTACATTCCAGGAATTTCTTGTACGAGCTCAACAATTCATCATAGCCGAGGAGTCGATGTCAGTTCCCAGCTTCGACTTCTCGATAAAAGAAAACAAAACCGAATCAGATGCGAAAAAGAAAAATAAGAAGAACTTTGGGAAAGCACAATTTCGGAATTTCTCCAAGGGATTTGAGAATACTCCAGAATCTAGGGCTGCTCGCGATCAATATTCGGATAATGTCAGGACAGGCTATCAAGCCGTTTATTCAGCTGGAGCAGCTACCATATATGAAGAACTAAAAGGAAAAGGGATTATTCCGGACCCAAGACCCGTGAGGACCCCTGATGACAAGCTGGATAAATCTCGATACTGTGCATACCACAAATCCCGGGACATAATACCGATGAATGCCTCGGTCTGCTGTCGGCCCTGTTACGATTAATTGGACAACCTCAGCTTCAAAAATTTAGAAATTTTGATAATCGCCGGAAAGGGAGGCCTCTGGATCTTTCAGACGATGAAGAGGACGACAACCGACTTGTCAATCCGAAAAAAGCCCGCGTGAACGATAAAGAAGTTTTCACATTTTCTGCTCTTGGCGGCACGTCGGTCGAGAACCGCAAAAAGTCCAAGGCACATGATTCATCAGGCTCTTCGCATTGCATCCCCCGAGTCAATTCAAATGCTAAACAATTGGATACTTCTCGGCGGAAGGCCAAAGCATATGTCAGGGAGGCACAAAATACCGAGAAACGAGTCATGAATGTTGACCTTCGAGATACTATCAATCGACGAAATTGTCCCATTACATTCAATATTGAAGACGCTAACTTGTTCGCTCACCCTCATTCCGACGCTCTTATTATCACAGCCCCGATCGGAGGTATTCCTGTCCACAAAATTATGGTCGACACCGGGGCTTATTCGAGCATTTTGATGCTCCGAACTTTCAAGAAATTGGGTCTGGACCCAGCTGATATTAGACCTTGCAATGATCAAATTCAAGGTTTCAATGGGAGCATCTCCCGCCCTGTTGGCGAAATATTACTCCCAATTCGATTTGGCGGCTTTGGACCGAAATCCAAGATAATCATGGAAACCTTTAAAATCTTGGACGTTCAGAATTAATATAATGCCGTTGTAGGACGAACTGCACTTTACAAGCTCCGTGCTGCTGTGTCAATTTTTCATTATACCTTGAAGTTCCCTACCGTTGAAGGGGAAGGCACCCATTACGGAGATCAACGGGAGGCCCGTAGTCTGACATTACTTTCTGCCTCGCGCAGCTTTCATATGGTTGAAGAGCAGGAGACTGATAGCTTTACTGGGTTGAGAAATCTTCCTTTTCCTGATGATCGAAGGACTACTCAATTTGCATCAGATACCGACATCCCCCTTATAATTGATACCGATGTCCCTATGATGTCGGATTTGTCTGCAACATTGAATGAAGCCCTTGACCCAGAACAGTCTTTTCATGGGGAAGACACTGGGACACTTGAAGATATAGACCCTCGGATGCCATTTAAGGATAAAAACCACCATGTCCGAGCAGAGCCAGTTGAAGATGTTGAAATAATTTATGTGGATGGTCTGGTTCAAGAAAAATCATTGCGTATTGGGGCCAACCTTCAAGAACCCATGCGTTCGTGTTTGGTCCAATTTCTCCAGTTGAATTCTGATGTGTTTGCTTGGAAGCACGAAGACATGAAAGGGATTGACCCGCAGAAGGCGTGTCATCGTTTGAATTTGGACAAGACAGTCAAGCCCGTTATACAGAAACGTCGGAAATTCGGCCCAGATCGCCAGAAGGCCCTTGAAGAGGAAGTAAACAAACTCATAGATAATAAGTTTGTTAAAGAAGAAAAGTACCCGACATGGATATCGAATTCTGTCTTGGTCAAGAAAGCTACCGGCCTTTGGCGTCTGTGCATAGACTTCTCCGATTTGAACCAAGCATGCCCGAAAGATAGCTATCCCATTCCACACATTGACTACATGGTAGACGCTACATCGGGACACCAGCTTATGAGTTTCCTGGATGCCTACTCTGGTTACAATCAGATTCCCATGCACCCTGATGATGCTGAACATACGTCGTTTTACTCAGCTCGAGGCCTTTATTGCTATGTAATGATGACTTTCAGATTGAAGAATGCTGGGGCCACATATCAAAGGCTGGTCAATAAAATGTTCGCTCGTTTGATCGGTCATACGATGGAAGTTTATGTGGATGACATGCTAGTGAAATCGGAACAGGCCTCTGATCATATCGCTCATCTTTCAGAAGTTTTTGACATCCTCCGAGAATATTCAATGGTGCTGAATCCCAAGAAGTGTACCTTTGGAGTTGGGTCAGGAAAATTTTTAGGATATATGGTAAGTCAAAGAGGAATCGAAGCTAATCCTGCCAAGATTCGAGCCATACAAGAGTTGACTCCCCCGACATCTGTTAAAGGTGTCCAAGCTTTAACTGGTCGACTAGCAGCTTTGAACCGATTCATTTCGAAGTCGACAGATCATTGTAAGCCGTTTTTTGATGCTATTAAAAAGACGAAACCGTTCGAATGGAATACGGAATGTCAGAACGCTTTTGACAACATCAAGAAAGTTCTCTTACAATTACCGACGTTGCAGAAGCCGCTTCCGGATGAACCCTTGTATTTGTACTTGGGTGTAAGTGATGTTGCTGTTAGCGCAGTCCTTATACAACAAAAAGAACTTCAACAGTTCCCGATATATTGTGTCAGCAAGGCTTTACATGACGCCGAATTGCGATACCCGTATATGGAAAAGTTGGCCTTTGCTCTAATCATTGCTGCACGAAAGTTGCGTCCATATTTCTTGGAGCATTCTGTTATTGTATTTACATCGTTTCCTCTCCGGCAAGTCCTCCATAGACCTGACACGTCGGGAAGGATGATCAAGTGGGCGATAGAACTGAGACAGTTTGACATTCAGTATCGGCCACGAACTGCCATCAAAGCTCAAGTATTGTCTGATTTCATAGTAGAGTTTACCCCAGTTGTTAGCCCGTCTATTGAAAGTCCAACGTGGGATCTTTATATTGATGGATCGTCCACTGCCATTCGAGCTGGAGGAGGAATCGTTTTGGTTAGTCCCGATCAACAGGTGTTTTGCTACTCTGTAGCATTCACCTTCCCGGCCACCAACAATGAAGCCGAATATGAGGCCCTCTTGTCAGGATTGCACTTTGCTGAATCTATGAATGTTTCCTCTCTTCGAGTATTTTCGGACTTTGAAATACTCATTCATTCATAAACTTTGAATGAACTATGCAATAAAACTTACCTTGCT